CACTTTTCACTCTTCAAGGAAATGCTACACGTATTGTCGACGTCTTTGAGTTTTGGTACAAGTTCTCGTCAGACTATTCCTTTATCAGAACAACCAGCCAATATGATGGACAGGAACGAACCGTGTCTCCCTTAGCAATGTCCAGTTCCCTGCATAACGAAACCGTCATTCTCTTACATAGCTATTCTCAGAAGTTGCAAACAGTCAAGCTTGACTTTAAGGACGAATGGATGAAACCAGCCATGGGAGAAGCTACTTGCATCACCATCAAGGACGAATGGTATCCGATCATGACCTTCAACGAGCCCTTTAACATCCAGAAGACACAAGGAATGTTTGAACTTCCCCCTGAGGCAACATGTCACTTGACATTCAAGACCCCCTCAGACCAATTACCTACTGTCACTCTCAACGAAACCACATACTACGGCGCTGATATTCTTATACCAATCAAAGATAAGATCGCTTTGACTGACATAAATCTACCAAATGATCAATACCACAGTGCAAGATTAAGAGTTTCAACCAGTTGGTCGATCAATGAAACAAACTATGTATCGTATGTTACCTTCAACCTCCACCGCCTTGACTCTTTTTATAAGCTGTATGATTCCGACAAGTTTAACAGCACCACCTATTGGGAAGTTTGGGAGTTTGCTGTCCCTACTTCCCTCTTTGTCACGGGGGCTAACTTTGTACAGTTCCACTTCTCTAACGACATGACAGCAGGATATGTTTCTTCAGTTGCTCTTGTCACAGCCAAGCTTGTCCCATCTGATAATGCGTCAGAATTATAATTGACATAATTAAACAAGTTCGCGTCATTTTGTCTCATGTCATTATTACTATATTTCAAAAATGTCATTAGACCAAGGTGATAAATCTTTGCAGTATTGCGATTGTGGCCCTGGTCGTAACACTAAATGGTGCTGATATTTACCTGTTTGAACTTATGGTCAGTTTTTCGACTGCAAGTAATTCCTCTGAGATGATTTTGAACATAAATTACTCAGCTTGAGCAAAGCCCCATTATCAACTGGACATTGTTCAACATAGTAGGAATATCAATGGCATGGCTATAAAAACTACAAATATTGGCTTGAGTGCTCGGTAACGTTTTTAATTTTTTAACGCTACACCACTTCATGGGCTGACTCTAACACAGTACACATCAACAGGTAAATCTCTGCTTAAACGTGTTGGGGAAATGTCCTACAGACCAGCATTCCTCTTTCAGCTTTTAAACAGCTTTATTCCCAATTATTGATTCCTCGTTATGAAATGAGACAGGTTGTCCTGTCCGTGTAGGTTATTTTTATTGAAGGATCCTTGCCTTTTAAAAAAGCGCGATGATGATAAAACAGGCAATCTGACAACAAGTTCAGCAAGACACTAACAAGGATCAAAGACAAAAGAAACGAACGTGACCATTATCAATCCACACAATGTTCCATCACAGAACATCCGAATAGGTGGTGGGAGGGCTTTTTTATATTAGCGGGACACAATCGTGATTCTTTTTAATTCTAAGACATCTCAGATCTTTGATAACCCCGAAGCTGGTTGTCTAACGCTCGTACGTATGCGAGGAAAACATCATAACAATATAAACAGCAAATAGTCGACTATGTGTTGTGGTTTCATATACATTTCCAAAGCCTGTCTAATTTATTTATCTTAGACGGGGCCGACCTTGTATGGAGGTTTCAGCTACGTTACGAGAAAATACTTTTAATAACAAATAGTTACTGGAAATGTACAACTTCGTGTATTAACGGTGAGGCTTTGTCAAACGGTGTCTTTATTTGTTTCTTATTTAATGCCACTCTCAGCAACATTCAAGCTATATGACGGCGGCCTGTCTATATCGAGTCTGGTCTTGATATTGTGAACACCGAGCCACGCCGTCGAGGGACGATGACGCTATCAACCATGCAACCGAGCTGTCAAACATAATAAGGAGCCACCATCAAGTACTATAGATCATTACAATTTAAATTGTCTATGCACTATCGACAACAAATAAGGGAACTTACGATTTGAAAGTAGCTATCGTTGAGGTGTACATTTACAATGTTGTGGCGAAGCATCTGAACGCAACATCAGGTTATCACAATGAAATTTCACATCATGCATGAACAACACTTTATCGTCAGGCTGCATTTATCGTAAGTACACCTCCACTATCATTTCATTAGTTCCCTTATATTTGGCTGTAGTCTGAACGCAGGAACGTTCGCCATGAGAGTGACAGGAGGACCAATCGCAATGTTACATAATTCTAATTCTAGTCCGCGTAGGTATTTTGCAATATCTGTTTATAAACTCATCTTTCATCATACAGTGATTTTGCAATAATGCATGATAGTGTTGGGATGAAAGTTTTGAGACCGATCTGCATTTAAGGAAAAGATACAAAGATTTATTGTTTAATTTAATGGAGATAGACAATCTTGGGTAGATGCCCCATGTATCTCATACACGGGAAATATATATCTAAGACTTACATGACTTGTTGGTTTGTTGTGTAACGCTACACTCACCAATATTCCAGCTGTATGTCGGCGGTCTGTAAATCGAGTCTGGACCAGACAATCCAGTGATTGACATCATTAGCATCGAACCACGCAAATGGGATGACGGAGACATGCATCAACCAGGTCAGCGAGCCTGACCACCCGATCCCGTTAGTCACCTCTTACTACAAGCATAGTCGCTTTTTACAGCAAACCAGTTGCTGAGGAACTCCTTTCCAGATTAAACATCAAAGAGGCTGGCTGTACAATTATAGGATATAACACAGAGACAGAGAGGAACATTCTTTAAGCTCTGCACTATTTAGACGTGTTTTCCTCTCAATCGTACAAGTCACTTATTTTTTCGGGAACATCTCACCCTTTTACGAGTATAAATGAAGCACGTCTGCTAGTTTTTGTCGCCCTGAGTGACAATTGTGTCCATCGAAAGACGGGAAGGATTATGCCCCCTGTTATCAGTGAATATGGGAATGGGGGAGTAACACGAATTATCTCAACTGCTCTGTCTAGGATATTGCAACACTATATCAGTCCCATGACTGCTCAGGCTAGCCTTAGTATCCTCGTGCATGACACGGAGCATTGAGATTCTGATTGCTTTTCTGTGCTGATTCTTACCTTTTAGAACTGGACATTGAATGGAAGTAACGAGGGTGTTTTCATTAGACAAGGAACATGTTTTCGGACAATTGTTAGCACTAAATAAAGACATCTTTGCATCCATTCTCTTACATGATTATAGAAAGCAATACAACAAGTAGCGATGTATCAGCTAAGGAACTGTAAGTAAAAGCAGTAATTTCAAATTGCTGCTATTATTTAATACAGATCTGGTTAATCGTACTCTACACCTAACTCAGTTTTAGTTTCGTTGTGGTTGATTTGTTATTGTTGCTGGTAGATCTGTTCTTTGATACCGAGGACATTTTTCACTTCTTAAATACTTACTAATTGATAAGAGGTTTGATTACAAAGTCGCTCTTCCCTGTTTAATATACAATTATAACATGATTATGAATTCTGGTTATTCGCTGAAATACCATGAGAGACATTTTAGGAAACAGTGCCAATGACCGCAGCTCACTCTTATGTGTAATCAATTGTTGTAAACAATACCAGATACTTATTAAAAGTTTCAGTCTGATTTGATCATGAGTGAGTGAGTGAGTTGGGTTTAACGCCGCTTTTAACAACATTCCAGTTATCGGGAACTCGGGATTCGAACACACAATCATAGGTTTCCTGAGTGCCCAAGGGACGCAACTCGAAATCATCATGATATGTTCTGCATAAATACTGAAGAATGAGATTTCTCGCAGTCAGTTAATCAATCGAACAAAAATCTATCATCTGTCTTCTTTAACCTCTTAATGTCCTCTTTAAGAAGTGTGCGACTGGCAAGTTTTGACTGCGACACCAATAGGAGTTTCGGAGATTTGGTGTTTCTACCCATTTGTTAGCCACCACATATAACCTGGTCCTTGTACACTTCTCAAACTTCGGAACAGAGTGATACATTTCTGCAGTCTGCAGTCTCCGTAGCTATGGCATTGCGATGACTTATGTGGAACAGTCGAATGTAGCGATCCTGTGCAGGTGTGGTACCCTTGGTCGGCCGGTTCTCGGTTGGTCTGCAGTTGAAGTGAACAGTGTGTATCGGTCACAAAGGCGGCACATGGTGCTGTGGTGAGAAATATTGGTACTGGTAGGGCTAGAGTGAGTGAGTGAGTGAGTTGGGTTTTACGGCTCTTGTAACAGTATTCCAGTTATATCACGGCGTGTCACCTTAATGTGGGAGAAAAGCCCCAAGTGATGCAGGTTAACCACTTCGGTGAAACCCACGAGCACGGGTATGGTGCCGACAAACATAGAAACATAATCGGGGCGAACCGGGTTTCTGGCGTGCCCAAGTGACGCAACTCTGCACAGCGATTCGCGGCGCCTTAGACGACTGGACCACCCGTGCCCCCATTATATTAATTTTGTTCTGCACTGTTTATATCGTCAAGTAACTGTTTTGAGAGCTGAATAATAAGCTATTTATGTTATTATCATGCTATAATATACAAAGATTTAACGCTCCTACAACGATTAATGTTTGAATTTGAATCGTTTAGAATTTGTTTCGGAAATATAATACATCTCACAATCAGTTTTTGGTGTTTACAAAAAGAATTCGCGTGCGTATTTTCATAAAACAAGCAGCTCGACAGATGCAAATTGTTGTTAATTCTATGGCACTTAGGTGTATCTGAATCGATGAAGTGACCTTTTAGTTAAGTGAACTGGATGGGTTCGGTCTCCACATAATCTGTTGAAGCGCACCGCTGAGTTAACCTCGAGACCTAGCCGATCGACGAGCCTAAAAAAAACATAAACCTTGTTTTTACAATCATTGTCACACATTTATAGAGCAGCTGTATTGAGGTCAACGATAACATATCACCAGTGAACCTTAAGCTATACAGCACTGTCACTCTCCTCTACACTAGTTATGACCTTTGTCGGGAAATACTACATGTCAGGGAAAATGAAATTGAGACTGGTTCTTTTCATTTTGAGCCTGTCAACAGGCGTTGTATTCAGCAACACGACTGTGACGATCTACCCCCAGTGGCTGGCAAAGGGGGGTAATCTTCGCTATGAGCCGGATAGATGGAGCAAGCACAATGGTCTGGAACAGGAATTCCTGATTCCAAGTTGTCGGAGTATTCGGACTGACAGCGGGCGCTGGATGAACAGAGATTTAAATGATAATCTCTTTCAAGATGTGAGACTTTCTTTCATATCCGATAATCTGTTAACGATGATCTCCCGTTTAAAACTAGAGACTGAATGAGATTCTTTTTCTCTTTGTAATTGGGATAGACAATAATTACAAGATGGGCTCTGATCATGTCTGGTTATATTACAGGAACGTGTAATGTACTCATGTTGTTTGAATTACATTCTTCGAGACTGATGTTTCAAATGTGTATGCGTATATTGTTTGTGACAATGAAACAACAGAGACTCTTTGGAACATAGTCTTTTTCTGTTTTCATACGATTAGATGTATTGATATTTATAATGCCATACATGTCATTTCATTGAATAGTCCCCGGCCTACCAATGAAGACTGACAGACTGCACCTAAAAACGTATACATACAATACATAAGGAATCGGCAACAAAAAACGATGAGAACGAAACTAAGAAACAGCAACATAAATCTGAGAGCACGCTGCCGAAAACATGCAAACGTCAGCACTGAAACACACAGACCGCAGCCTTCCACACAAAGCATGCGCAGAACAAAACGGAAGCTGACAGCGAGTAAATGTACAACAAACAGCGACAATATTACAGATATGTATTGTTGTATTATTTTGGTTGCAGTCTGTGAGTTTTCATTTGTAGGCCTGACTCCGTGACATGTAATCACAATATAAAACATGGAGAAATATATGATTATTATACCTACCAATATTACTTGCAGTGGCCAGAGGACCCAAACCATAGTGGCTACCCTGACCCCAACTATCTCAAGAACGTCACCAAACAGCAGGAACTATTCTCCAAGTACCTTGCTAACATTAACAGTGGTTACAAGAACGAAATGATCATGGTGACAAGATGTAAGTGTACCCGGAAAGCACACAATTGGTAATACTTACTGGCAATAAAATCAAACTAACCTAGGTTTTAGAGGCATTCATACTGATGTACAACGAATGATAATTGGTGTTTACATTGACGAAAAGACCCGTGAAGATCTGGGGTAGAATAGGTGTTCAGCAACCAATGCTTGCCGTAAAAGGCCTCTACGCTTGTCATAAGAGGCGACGAAAGGGAACGGATGGCCAGGCTCGCTCACTTGGTTGATGCATGTCATCGTTTACCATTTGCATAGATCGATGCTCATGATGTCAATCATTGGATCGTCTGGTCCAGACTCGATTATTTACAGACCGCCGTCATGTAGCTGGAATATTGGTGAGTGCGGCTTTAAACAACTAACAAACAACAAACATTGATGAAAACGGGTATGGAGCTGTCAAACGAAAGATCATAACCCGAGAGAATCTATGAATTAAATCAATGACCACAGAATCCTGGCGCGTGTAAGAAACGTGACACTGCAAAACAAATAGCAGAGTAATAAAATTCTTGGTTAACTCTGCCCAACTGCAATAAGCAGACATACCAAGACAACATGAAAATGCCAGTGATTGGTACTCAATGTAATTATACCAATAAAATTAGATGTATATTTACATTTTAAGATGAATTTATTGGGACTAAAAGCAATTTAATCACACAATTTACGATATTTATCATCATTATTTGACCTATCTATTTTCGTATATTTAAGAACAGAGACACACTACATCTTTAAATGAGAACCATCTTTCTGAAATGTTTGTGCATATTTCCAAAAAAAGTGAGCATCATTGTATCAGTATATCAATATGTTGTTTATTTATGTTTTTAGCTCATAACTGGCCAAACTGGATGAACCAGTCAGAACATGAAGGTCATTTTCCTAACAACGTCGATGCTGCTGCTGAGTTCATGATGTTGATGGTGCAAGGAGTGTACGACTACACCCAAGGTCAGATCCCGCCATACTTCGAGGTCATCAATGAGCCAGAGGCTGATTGGCAGATCTTGAATTTCAGCACCACTGTCGGCATTTACCACAAAGCAGTTGCCGAGAAACTCCATGCCAGATTTAACATCAAGGTGGCTGGCCCGACAATTACAGGATATAATACAGACATAGATAGGAACGACTTTTCGTTCTGGCCCAAACTAGTACAGTTTATGGACATTGCTTTAGACCATTTAGATGTATTTTCCTTTCATTCATACAACTCACTTGTTGTTTCGGGGAAATCTCACAGATTTACTGGTAATAATGAAGCACGTTTGGTAGCATTTGTCGACCTCATTGAAAGCTATGTCCATAGAAAGAAGGGGAAAATTATCCCCCTCATTATCAGTGAATATGGTCGCGGTGGAGTAAAAGGAATCAGCTCAACTGCTCCATCGGGTATAGTCGATTTTTCAACAATATACAACGCCAATGCCCACCGATTCACCCAAATAGGTCTCAGAGAATACGTTGACCGAGGAGTGGTGTTTCTCTTGTCTAATGAACAATCCCCAGAACATGAAAGTCTTAACTGGTCACTTTTTACTCTTCAAGGAAAACCCACACGGATTGCCGACGTCTTCGAATTTTGGTACAATTTCACATCAGAGTACTCCTTTATCAGAACCTCCAGTCAATCTAACGGACAGGAACGAACTGTGTCGCCGCTGGCAATGTCCAGTCCCTTGAATAATGAAACGGTCATTCTCCTACACAGTTATTCTCAACAGTCACAGACCGTCAAGATAGTTTTTCAAGATGACTGGATCACACCAACCACTGGAGAAGCTACATGCATCACAATCGAGGACAACTGGAATCCAATTATCACCTTCAACAGACCCTTTGACATCGGAAAGACCCAAGGAATGGTTGAACTTCCTCCAGAAGCTACATGTCGCTTCACATTCAAGACCCACTCAGGCCAACTACCTAAAGTCACTCTCAATGAAACTACATACTACGGAACTGATGTCATTATACCTATCAAGGACAGCATCGCTGTTACAACCATATCTCTCCCGGTTGTCGAGATTCACAACGGAATTCTGCGAGTTTCGACCAGCTGGCCCACTACTGAAACAAACGATCTGAAATCTGTTACCCTCAACAGCCAAACTCTTGATTCTTTCTTCAAGCTGTATGACTCAGACAGGCAGAACAGTGACATCCATACCTACATGGATGTTTGGGAGTTTGATGTCCATTCCACCTTGTTGAACACCACTTCTATCACGGTCCAGGTTAACTTCTCCAACAAAGAGTCGAAAGGATATGTGACTTCGGTAGCCCTTGTCACAGCCAAGCTTGTCCCATCTGACATTAAATAATAACACAAAGACACATAATTTTGATTGATTAAATATAATGTGTGATGAAGTCTTTTGTATTTTTGTTTTGTTTCTAAAGTACACAGTTGCAGGTGTGTTCAGGCAAGGAAACAGTATTTAAACTTGTGACCTATTAACCTCTTGTGTGACGACCATTATTTTTTTTCAGTGCAGATACCTATCTTTTAGGTGAGGTGAGGTGAAATTGGGTTTAACGTCGCGTCCAAGATTATTGCACTTATATAGCGACGTGCATGCAAGTGTGTGTGTGGCTGCTTGTACTTGGACTGATGCCGATTTATAGTTCTAGCACACTGAGATACCATGCCGCAGTTTAAGATGAATACGTCTCACATGACAGATGATGAACACATGATGCCTTCGTAACATATACGGCTATAGTTAGTTCTAAAGTAGAACATGTCTACATGAAACTTTAATTTTGCACCTATTTTCTCCTAGCACATTGATAATGATGACGTGATGATGCTTGCAATTATCATAGCTAGATAAAAACTCCCTAGATTAACGAAGTGGTAAATCAATTTATGATGAAAATATATCAGCTAGAGAACTGTAAATACACTCAATGGTTTCAAATTATTGTTATTTATTTGAAATAGGTCTGGTAAATCGTTCTATATACTTAATACTTAATTTTGATTCCCCAGTGGATGAACGTTAAATCCCATTTCACCTAACCTTACAGCCAGTGATGGTTTTGTCATTTATGTCAGAAGTTTCTGAATAATGATAGCATTTCACTTTAAGTTCAAATTAATATATATTTATGTAGCTATATACATCGCAGTGAACAATGAAGAAAGAAGCGTGGTTTATTTCACGATAAAACATTGTTCTATCGTGACGTCATTTCTGGAGATTCGAATATTCCCTCACAACTTGATGACGTCATATATCGAACGACGTTGTTTTTGAGAGTAAAAGTGTCTAGTAAGTTAATCCCCATAGATGTAGCTGGGCTACACAGATAAACTCAGTGACCGAACGATCGCATCGAAAAGTTGGAGAAGTATGACAATCGGTATTAGAAGATAAGGTACACATAGAATATCTTGAAATATCTGGAATATACCACACTTAACCTATATGTTCGTAAAATGGACTTATCCGACATTTCCGAAGGTCCGATTCTATTCAGGGAGTCATCATTATTAAAATATGGGTACATAATTTTAAAGTTTGTTCATTTTATCAACATCCTTAAGTAATGTTGATATCTCTCTCTCTCACACACACACACACACACACACACACACACACACACACACACACATACACACACACACACACTCAATCAATGACTGTGACTTTGAACTCATGAAAGATCCTTCGTATTCAAAAGGCTTTGAACCATCAGCTGTGGGTGACGCTTTTCACCACCAGGAGGAAAACCTGACTTCAGAAAGTCAAATATCTCAAGCAATTTGAACATATTAGGAAAGGCAAATGTAATATTTTCGTTGAGCTTCTTGTGGAGTGATTATATGGGGACTTGATTCTTTTCCTTCTGTCCCTCATGCCGCCGCTATTTGCTGTAAGTCACTGATCGCACATTCACGATCTGAGTGAAGTTGATTTTCGCCAATTAAAAAAATCTAGCTTTATAACAATTCGTGCCTCCTAGTCATGAAATACACAACTTTTGATGAATAGACATATGTTATTTCGATTCTAGTATGACATGTTTGGTTTTACTGATGGGCTTAAAATAATTTAATCGTTATCATTATCACGTGTATCCACTGGACGAATCAGCTTATTTAAGGTATGAAACCTCATTTTCTTTTCATCAAATAAAATCCGACACTTACATGAGTAAAATATAATTTTGGCACAAACTAAAGATTAAGAAAACGGAAATGCACAAGATTTTAGTAGTCATGTTTACGTCTTTTCTGCCCTTGGTATTGAATTCAAAAGCATGATCAGAATCTCACTCACTCACAACATATTTTTATGCTTGTCGTAAGAGGCGACTAAAGGGATCGAGTGGTCAGACTCGCTGACTTGGTTGATGCATGTGCGTGGATCGATGATCGATGCTCATGATGTCAGTCGATTATTTTCAGACCGCCGTCATATAGCTGGAATATCGCTGAGTGCGGCATTAAACAACAAACAAACACTTCTTATTGTTTTCATGGAAGAGCATGGGTGTGACCTCCCGAAATAGTGGTATAATGTTGCACATGAAACACTATGAAGGTGTGCACCTGCCAGAAACAAGGAGTTCGACTACAGTTCTAACATGGAGGGTTTGGCGTCAGATGGACAGCCCCTGACTTTCTAAAATGTTTTCAAATATATTCCAAATGTTTCGATTTTGAATCTGCAGTAATTTGTGTACGTTGAGTACTATCTCTAAGCAAGGAGGTGCTACATGTGACAGCGTGCGTCCTTATCTGTTTTTCTTAGTGTATATTATTTATAATTACAAACGTATAATCATTTGATAAAAGAAAACAATACTTCACTCTCCCTATCTTTAAACTGTAACTTCAGTACAGACAAATAGTTTTAAGGTTACAGATGAGGTAAGGCTAACGGTCAATAACTGACCTAGAAAATAGACAGGCTTGGAGTCATGTGATCATGACACCATTGGGAAACCGCTGATGTCACCATAACGATAAGGAATAATTATGAAAAGTCATATTTTGGCGACACAGATAGTTAGCCCAGCCTTGTACAAAGTAAGTGCATTGAGACCAAGGTGAATTCGGGTAATCTTTTTACGTGAAACACGCATGTTATTACCTTCTCTATATATGTCAGATTGCCAAGGACATTGTTGATGTTTAACGCCGCGCTCAGCAGTATTCCAGCTGTATGACGGTGGTTGTCAAGGACGTACATGTATATCAATGAATCGAGCTTCTGTGGGCAAAGTGAGTGAAAGACAATCGGCAAGCACTTGGTATCATAGAATAAGAGATTAGTGGTTGGTCTACCAGGACAGCTGTTTTCTATACATGTGGGTTTCTATATATACAGCCTGCAACCGTCCACCAATATGCACTCTTAAGAAAGGTAAAGTATCATGAACTTTACACGTTAATGCCAAGTATAAGATCAAAGATAACTGTTGACGACAGTCATCCTGTGCAAGAACGTTTATGTCTGGAAAACTTAACACCAAAACACATCCTATAGTTTGCACGTGCCTCACACGTGCGTTTGGTGTCATTCCTTATTTTCACATTTCCAGGGAAGATTGATTAATTAATGTGTTAGACATTATTCCTGGCGGTGGATCGGTTACATTTTAGGTTCGCATAACGAACCCAACTCCATATTGTCCTAGGAAGGGTCACTGGACAGAACTATCGGAACAGCACATCCATAGAATGTCTTTGTCAGCAATGAGCCCAGACCTTGCCCCCATCGAGGACGTCTGGGACATGATAGAGAGACATGTGCATCAACGTCATAGGCCGACGACCACGTTGGCTGAACTAGGCCAGGCGCTGCAAGAGGAGTGGGACAGACTCCTTCAAATCGACATTGGGAGACTAATACGCAGTATACCTCGTCGAGAGAATGACTGTTTGACAAATCTTGTTGGTATTACGCACTACCGATCCAAAAACGTCAACTTTGAAAAGTCCAATCTTACCCTCATCGTCCTTCAAGATCGTTGGCGGTCAGGCCATTTACTGTCATACTTCACAACCATTTGTAATGTGTTGATTCGTTTATAACAATCATACAACTATTACCAGAAACTAATATCCTTTACATTTTGGAACTTTTAAGTTATTTTCGAGTAACTTTTTTGGAAGAGTATATTATCATGATCGGCTTATTTGTAACTGCTGATGTTCTAGGGGACTTAATGACAGGTTTCTCCTTGTGCCTTTCAAATATTACGATTTATCTACAAAGTGGTTCTTTTGAAACGGCATTTTCCTTACCTTGATTAATTATTGAGACTAAATCTACGTCAATGGTGTCAGTGTAGTCTGCTTTCATGTTTTAATTTCGTAGCTGCACGTTTATGTGAACAACTTCATGAAGATAGGAGATATCCACTCAGCAATAACTGTCGGGGTGCGGGGGAACTGGCGTGGCAAAGTGCATAAAGAAATAGAGCTTACAAATAAGTAGATAGCCCAGGCAATGTCATATTTACAATCAAATCATTAAATTGTGATTTTTTCAGAGCAAGAAGTGGACACTGATATTTTTCCCGTTGAGTCTAACAACAGGCGGTGTATACAGCAACACAACCGTGACGATCTACCCGGAGTGGCTGACACAGGGACACAGCGTTCACTAGCACAGTAATCGGTGGAACAAGCACAACGGTCTTGATCAAGAATCTCTCATTCCCAACTGTCGGAGCCTTCGAACCGACAGCGGGCGCTGGATAAACAGAGATCTTAACGGTGGTCTCTTTCAAGATGTGAGATCGGCTTATGCCTAAAAATTATAGCAAATGGAAATTGTCAATAGTTTTCTTCTCAAACAGATTTGACGTTGAACAGAAGAATATCGAGAATAAAACCATTATGTAATGGGAAATATATACATTTAAGACGAGTTCAAAAACTACTTTATTGCTGTTTCACTTCCTCTTTTCTTTTCAACTTCAGACGTGTTACTTTATCTGGCTACTTATCTGACTAAATTACATAACAATGATCACATTTGGGAAATGTTTGTAGAAATGAGCGATTGTTGTATATGACCAAAACCATTGTACATAGTTTATTTCAACTTGCTAGTATCTGCCAAGGACCGTTTTCACATGCTAAACAGAAATTTAAGTTTCAGTGAGCAAGTTTATCAGTTCTTCGGGCAGTATTGTTACAACCTTTTTTAAAGTAAATGTTTGTGTTATGCATTGTCGAACTATTGTCGAACTAACCGATATCGATTGCAGTGGCCAGAGGACCCAAACCATAGTGGCTACCCTGATCCCAACTACTTGAAGAACGGCACCAAGCAGCAGGAACTGTTCTCCCAGTACCTTGCTAACATTAACAGTGGTTACGAGAACGACATGATCATGATGTCTACTGGTATGGTTTACAGGCTAACATTGCCAAATGTCTTTCAAAATTATTTGAGCAATGTCAACTGACAAAATAGGGCCTACATGATGTGTATGCATCAAACGGTTTACCGTCACTGGCCATACAGTTGTCTACACAATACTTTTAACGTAACTGAAATTGTCTAGTGATCGAGAAATGAAAGTCCGCTCAGTGCCTTGAACTCACTTCCATATTGAGTAACGCGTACTGACAACAGGAAAACCAAAAGCAAAACTAATTCTGTAATCTATTCTGGCTGCTTTTGGTAGACCATATCTTCGCTTTTCCCAGTAAATGCTGCCATGTAAACATTCTCATATGCACAATCTAATCAGTCACGTTTATAAAGAATGTAACAGAGCTGACATACTTGCTGTTATGATCAATGACAATCTCTTCTTCAGCGATGAGAAGAGTTAATCATTTAGAGGACAGTTACATGTTTCAGTATTCACCATTCGAAAGAGGAAGAAATTGTTTGGTTATAGAATCCTTTTTAAAATTAAACTGGGGGGCAAGGGTCTAAGGCGCCGCAATTCGATGTCCAGAGCTGTGTTTCTTAGGCATGCCAAAAACCTATAATTGTTGGTTTGAATCTCGATTCGCCCAGATTATGTTTCTAGGTTCGTCAGCACCTCACCCGTGCTCGTGGGTTTCACTAAAGTAGTAATAACAATCTTAGGTCTGCATCACTTCGGCTTTAAACCCCAACTCACTCTCTCTCTCAAAATGAAACTATGTAGTATCTCTCTCATTTTTCTGAGCATTCTCACTTTTATTCCTCACTCACGACCACAAGCATTTTGGAAGTCGAATCGATGCTTCAATTTCATTATTTGTGGCCAAGGATTTCTGCGGGAGATCTAGCTTGTCACTTCTGCAATAAAGTAACAGTATTCTTAAACAAATGTGAGATAATTTGATACTCATTCACATTATCAAACAGGTGGCACAATAAAAAGGAAATGTTTCTGATTCTTTTGCAAGGCGTCCTAATGAACGCGAAAAAGGAGGATATGGGGTGACTATGATCTTGACGATTTTTATTTAATTCTCTATTGCAACATTAATCCTGTTTCAAATGAGACGTAGTTGAAAGTGTTAAACCTTTTTCTTTTGAACTCATTTTACCAACAAATTCATTATTGTAATTGCCTTCCTCTCATGCCGTTTACAGGTGTTTCTTACCCGAGTTGGATAAACAAGTCCGAACATGCAGGACAGTTCCCCAACAACGTCGATGCCGCTGCTGAATTCATGATGTTGATGGTGCAAGGAGTTTATGACTACACCAAAGGAGAGATACCATCCTACTTCGAGCCCATAAATGAACCAGACTCTCAGAGTGACATCTTGAATTTCACAACTGTTGCCATCTTCCACAAATTAGTAGCAGAGAAACTCCATGCAATGTTTAACATCAAAGTGGCTGGCCCTACACTCGACGGATATACCGAGTTTGCAGACAAAGACAATTTTTTGTACTGGAAAAAAGTGGCACATTTCATGGACATCACTCTGGACTCATTGGACGCGTTTTCGTTCCATTCATACAACTCACTTGTTGTGTATGGGAAATCGCACAACCTGACTGGTATGAATGAATCACGTTTGGCAGCATTTGTTGATCTAGTTGAAAATTATTCCTATCTGAAAACAGGGAAGATTATCCCACTTGTTGTCAGTGAATATGGTCGCGATATTGTGATAGGAATTGACAAATTTGCTCCATCAGGTATAGTAGATTTTGCAACAATATACCATTCAAATGCCCACCGATTTACCCAACTAAGTCTCAGGGAATACATTGACAGAACAGTGGTGTTTCTTTTAGCCAATGAGAAATATCCAGGACATGATAGTCTCAACTGGTCACTTTTCACTCTTAAAGGAAACGCTACACGTATTGTCGACGTCTTTGATTTTTGGTAAAATTTCACATCAGACTACTATTTCGTCAGAACTACCAGTCAATATAATGGTGAGGAACGAACAGTGTCTCCCTTAGCAATGTCCAGTCCCCTGCATAACGAAACGGCCATTCTCCTCCACAGCTATTCTCAGAAGTCACAGAATGTTAAGTTAGTTTTTCAAGACGACTTGATCAAACCAACTACTGGAGAAGCTACCTGCATCACCATCAAGGACGACTGGTACCCAGTCATCACCTTCAACGAACCCTTCGACAGCCAGAAGACCCAAGGAATGGTTGAACTGCCTCCTGAAGCAACATGTCAGTTTAAATTCAAGACCCCATCAGAAAAATTACCTTCAATGACTATCAACGAAACCACATACTACGGAGCTGATATGTTTATACAAATCAAGGAGAACATTACCGAGACCACAATATCTCTCCCAAATGAAGAATTCCACATTGCAAGATTGCGAATTTCGAGCAGTCGGCCTGCCAATGTAACAAACAACCTCTCATCGGTCACCTTTAACCTCACACCTCTTCATGCCAGCTATAAGCTGTATGATTCTGACAAGTTTGGCGTCGACACTTACTGGGACGTTTGGGAGGTTGTTGTTCCTACCTATTTGTTAGCCACAACATATAACCTGGTCCGAGTTTACTTCTCCAACATCGAGGCAGAGGGATACATTTCTTCAGTTGCCCTTATCACAGCCAAACTTGTGCCCTCAGACATAAAATAATTATCATAATTCTGAAACAGAACATTATTTATGTGAATAAAACAAGAATAACTTATGTTCGAATAAATTACGTTTGCTTCCAAACCAAGTGTGTTTTTTATAATTGCTGTTGTATTCTTCAAAAGTCATTAGACCTGATAGGTGTAGTTCTATTAACCTCGATAGAGAGAATCGCGGCGCATTACACGACTGGGCCACCACAGAGATTTGTTTCCTGAAATATTTCAAATTTCACAGGGTATGGATACATGCATTGACGTATTTTGTTCGCAATCCGCCATCGGTTCTAAATAAATTTCAGGCACTAATACTCAACGGCTCCGGTAAATCTGAAAACAGATCATGTTTATCTTCTTAATGCCTACCCAATGATTGAGTTAAAACAAATTACGAGTCCTTGATAATATACAAATTTTTTTGTCTGTGAATAAAAAGTGGTATGGTTAGTTAAACTCAACCGAAGCTCTTCCTGATATACAAATTCATCTTCTGTTTGGTGGGCACGGGTGGCCCAGTCGTCTAAGGCGCCGCCATTAGCTGTGCAGAGTTGCGTCCCTTAGGCACGCCAGAAACCTATTATTGTGGGTTCGAATCCCGGTTCGCCCCGATTATGTTTCTAGGTTTGTCAGCACCATACCCGTGCTCGTGGGTTTCACCGAAGTTGTAAACGTCTGAGACCTGCATAACTTCGGGCTTTCCTCCCACATTAAGCTGACACGCCGTGATATAACTGGAATACTGTTAAAAGCGGCGTTAAACCCAACTCACTCACTCATCTTCTGTTTGAATTTGTTTTGTGAAAATCCAATCGTGTCGGCTAAATGAACAGACCATTCCCCAGGTTTACAGAACATATTAGACACTGATGAACACACAACACATGGCACGAGCATGTCTCCACAACCATATGTACAGTATACTCGCACTCGCCTTGAAGGCAAAGAAAGTTAATGTTCTGGTTTCTGTGTGGAAGTGAAGAAATGTATGGCAAAAACAGCAATGCATATATTTTTCAGATTTGTACACGTAATGTTCTTCTCAAGACTATCTGTGAAATTCAGGACTAAGGACAGAAGAGGTAATTTAATATATTGGAAAGAAATTAAATGAATTTTTTTATAATACTTATTCTGTTTGTCTGTAACATGTAACACACTCTTCGGAAACAGTACAGAAGGGAAGTTGGAAGGTTAAGAGCTAGGTCATGGTTTCTGGTACAAACTGCCCCCAACATTATACTGGTTATGAATCACGTGATCATAACGCCCTTGATAATATTCTGATATATTAAATGTCGAACAACATAAAGATAAGAAATTATGATAAAATGACGGTGAACAGCTGTTGATGAGAGTGTGGGCCAAGCCTTGAAAGAAGTAGGTGGATTATATCTGATGCCTAAGTGAATCTGAGTAGTCCTTTGTGTGAGTATAAACAGTGTTGCCTCGTGTGTGAAAGATGCATGTCAGATTGTCAAGGATTAATGTCAAGGAATAGTGTTTGTTTGTTTGTTTGTTTGTTTGTTTGTTTGTTTGTTTGTAATATCCCAGGTATATGTCGGCAGGCTTTCAATAATCGAGTCTTGACCAAAGCAGCGACCCACGCCATCAACCAAATCACCGAGCTTCTCCGGATCCATTAAGTCACCTCGAACGATAAGCATACATATGTAGAATGCTGGGGATGAGTCCTATCCCGGAACATACAGCTTTAATGGTTTAACTGCTATGACAAAATGAGTGAAATTTAATTGAGTGGGTGGCATGTCTAGAAAGACCCCAAACTACAATACTTTCATATACTTGTTTTATGTATGAAGCTGCTCGTACGTTTGTGCAACTGGATGAATATCTGAGATAAGCGGTACCCCCATAACCTATTCATTAATTCATTCATTTTACAGAAAATGAAATGGACACTGGTCTTTCTCACCTTGTGCGTGACAATAGGGGGTGTATACAGTGACACGACGGTGACGGTCTACCCTCAGTGGCTGGCACAGGGACGTAGTGTGCGCTATGAGAGTGACAGGTGGAACAAGCACAATGGCCTGGATAAAGAGTCCCTTATTCCAAGTTGTCGGAGCATTCGGACTGACAGTGGGCGCTGGATAAACAGAGATCTAAATGATCGTCTCTTCCAAGATGTGAGACTGGGATACGAATACAAATACGAGGAAGAGAAACTTATGTTTTAGTTAGCGCTTATTGTTGTAACTGCATGACAGACAACCTTATACTGCGTCATATTAATATCCACTGATTTCATTTCGTCGATGTTTTCGTTCTTCAAAAGAAACTCACCCTATTATTTAAAACAGCTTTTAAATAAATTTTCACAAGGATTGTGCAGGGACAATACAAATCAAATATAATATATTAATAGATATGAGTACAGAAATTCCAGTTCAACATTTTTCAGTTGGGTTATTTCATGGAAAAGGGGAAATTGGTTATTTCTTTTATTCTTACCATATCACTTGCAGTGGCCAGAGGACCCAAACCGTAGCGGCTACCCTGACCCCAACTACTTGAAGAACGTTACCAAACAGGAGGAACTGTTCTCGGTATACCTTGCAAACATTAACAGTGGCTATGAGAATGACATGGTCATGATGTTGTCAGGTATGAATGTTCACAATTGGATACATTCTCTTACAGAATGGTAATTCATAAATAAGACAACACTTTATTCTTTAATATACTAGTATTCATGTTCACCCATTTGTATACACAAACTAACAGAAGCATTTGTCATATCTACATTTTTACTCAGACCAGTCAACGGTTTCCTTCTTCGATATCTCACGCCATATCATGTTTTGGCCATTGTACTTCATACAAATTCAAATTTCTGTGTTTCAAATCAATTGAGCTCGAGACAAAAGGGAATTGGACACATCCGACACACCCGGGTATAAATAGTGGAACATACAGTAAGAGTGTGAAACAGTCGGGGTTTCGACATAGTCTAATACCGGACAAGGGGGTTCGGCTTCTGTATACGTTTGTATCTTGTCCATATAAAAAATGTCCATATGCCACCAGAATAAGTGTCCACGCATTCAATTTTTCATGATTTATCGGAAAGACGGAGGCTTTATGTTATATGTTTTGGTTGTCAGAAATGCATAATGAAATCTGAATGTAGGACACAAACAAATGGCGTGTCTTAAATCGTTGATATGGTTGTGAATATTCTAAATACACATGAGACATTCAAATACGTTATAATTTATAATTACTACATTAGGTGAACACACATCATTAACAATATCAACGTGGATACGGAATATATGACGTGAAGAATGATTGCCTTTGTACTATTTTATTTGGTAATTGTATTTTATCTTTGAGAAGTCTTTAGGATAGTAAAACAAAAAGTGTTTTCACTTCTAATGCTCGAAGACCGCCTCCATGGTAAAGCGTCTGCCCAGAGAGCGGAAGGTCGGGGCTTCGTCCCCGGCCACATCATGCCAACAGACGTACAAATATGGTAGTTGTTGTTACAGGGTCTGTTGCACGGCATTAAGGGCTAACACAAGGACTGGTCGGTCCAGTATACTGTGTCTCAGTATTATTATACATGTTAAACTGCGGCATTTTATCTCAGTGGCCTATCATATAAAATCGGTAGCCACACACACATTTAAACACACGTGCATGCACGTACAATAATCTTAAACGCGACGTTAAACCCCAATTCACCTCACCTAATTCTCATAATAACTTACAAATATGAGTAACAAGAAATTTTGACGTGACCATGAGCTTGATCATGATATTTCAAATGATAAGCCACCTGTCTTTACATAAACATTTTAATTCAAATCTCACTGCATATTCTCATAGCTCTTACAACATATTGTTGCTGTCATTCCTCATTTGTTTTCCAATGCGATTTGTTTCAGCTCATAGTTGGCCGAATTGGATGAACCAGTCCCAACATGAAGGTCAATTCCCCAACAACATAGATGCCGCTGCTGAGTTCGTGATGTTGATGGTGCAAGGAATCTATGATTTTACCAAAGGTCAGATTCCTCCATACTTCGAGACCATCAATGAACCGGATGCTCAATGGAAGATAATGAACTTTACGACTGTCTCCATCTTCCATAAATTAGTAGCGGAGAAACTACATGCCAGATTTAATATCAACGTGGCTGGCCCTACACTCACAGGGTATTCTGGAGCGGCGGACAGAAACGACTTTTCGTTTTGGAGCCAAGTGGCACAGTTCATGGACACAACTTTAGAATATTTAGATGTGTTTTCCTTTCATTCGTACAACTCACTTATTGTTTCAGGAAAATCTCACCGATTTGCTGGTATGAATGAAGCGCGACTGGTAGCATTTGTCGACCTTGTTGAAAACTATGCCTATCTGAAGACAGGAAAAATTACCCCCATTATTATCAGTGAATATGGTCGCGGTGGAGTGACAGGAATTAGCTCAACAGCTCCATCGGGCATTGTCGACTTTGCAACAATATACCACTCCAATGCCCACAGATTCACTCAACTTGGTCTCAGAGAATACATTGACAGGACAGTTGTCTTTCTCTTAGCTAATGAAAAATACCCAGGACATGACAGTCTCAACTGGTCACTTTTCACTCTTCAAGGAAACGCCACACATATCGCCGATGTCTACAAGTTTTGGTACAATTTCACGTCAGAGTACGCCTTCATCAGAACCACGAGTCAGTATGATGGAGAGGAACGAACGGTTTCGCCATTAGCAATGTCCAGTTCCTTGTATAATGAAACCGTCATTCTCTTACACAGCTATTCTCAGAAGTCACAGAATGTTAAGTTAGTTTTTCAAGACGGCTGGATCAAACCAACCACTGGAGAAGCTACCTGCATCACCATCAAAGACGATTGGTACCCAGTCATCACCTTCAAAGAACCCTTCGACATGAGCAAGACCCAAGGAATGGTTGTACTTCCCCCTGAGGCAACATGTCATTTCACATTCAAGACCCCTTCAAACACACTGCCTTCGGTCACTCTCAACGAAACCACATATTACGGAGCTGATTCACTAATACCAATCAAGGGCAATATCAAGACAGTTATATCTCTACCAGATGGCCAGTATCACAGTGCAAGACTGAGAGTTTCAACCAGTTGGCCGATCAATGTAACAAACAGTGTTTCATATATTACCTTCAATCTCCACCGCCTTGACTCTTTCTATAAGCTGTATGATTCTGACAAGTTTGACAGTCCAACCTATTGGGAAGTTTGGGAGTTTGATGTCCCTACCTCCCTATTTGTCACCGGGGCTAACCAGGTACAGGTCCACTTCTCTAACAACATGACGGCGGGATATGTTTCTTCACTTGCCCTTGTCACAGCCAAGCTTGTCCCATTTGATGTGAAGTCCTGATAATATGAACCATTCCGACCCATTCCTTAATTGTAATGACACCATTTAACAATTTGTTGCAATAAACCTGGCTTAAATGCTTCTTGTCTCCACGTATGTCTTTTATAATGATTGTGATCTATAATGCACATACTGATGTATATTAAAAACAACGCCACTGAAAATAATCAACACAGTGAAAACTGTTACAATATCCAGTGAATTGTCTATACAAACAACAAAAGGGTATAAAGGAACGTAGGAGTTTTGTTCTGCATTCTATGTGTGTTTGATGTTTAACGCCGCACTAAGCAATGTTTTAGCTATAAATGATGGCGGCATGTACGAAAAAAACTGCGACAGACAAACCAATAATTAATATTGTGAGCAATCGGATAAGAATGACACGCAGTCAAGAAGTCACCGAGTCTGACCACCTGACCCATGTTGTCGCCTCAGATGATTAAACATATTACTTGAGACCTGTTTAAACCTGGAATCCTAACAGTTTGATCGAAATACACGCCAGCAACGTGTGAATGTATGCAATATCTTCCCAATTCGCAGCCTTATTCCTGCTCGTTATTCGCCCTATTAGAACAACCAAAAGTTGTACACCGCATGCCAAATTTGCCAGCGCGGGGTCATGCGCTCCAATACTTATAATAACATTGACTATCCCATGGCTTTAATAAGTATATCGTTCTATAATTCAGATAAGCTAAAAGGATCCACATCTTGTTGTAAGTGAATTGTTATTTATGAGAGCAGGAATAATGTACAGAAAACAGTTTCGCAAATTTGGATTAAATAATCTTATTTCGTGGTAACATTGTACAAATGCTTCTCTGATTTGGATAGTTATGAACATCTTCTATTTTTGTACTTTCATGAAGGAAATACTGCACTGAGAAAGTCACAACGTTTAAAGATAACACATTCAAATATAATATACATGGAAAAAACCTGCAAGGACAAACGCAACGTGTGACATTAATCTGGTTTAATGCCAGAAAATATAATATAAGAATATCTTTTGAAAAGTTGGCCAACTCACAGCAGTGTGTGGGACATCCTGATAAGAAACGGGTGTACTGATGCATTGGCGAACAGTTGAAGTATTTAATGTAACGATTCGAGTGATCGTTTGTCTGTTAATTGATTGAATTTCGAGCTTGTCGCGTAATCATTGACATGATTAGTCCGAAGAGTTGATGGCCATCCGATGTGAGGCGACATCTTTCCTTTCAGATCGTTTAACTGACGTTTTGTAAATGATATTTAAAGTGTTTGCAATTCTCACTTTTATATACGAAATATATATTAATTGTAAACGTACACGTACACGTATAGGTATAGTGAGTGAGTGAGTTGTGTTAAACGCCTCTTTTAACAGTATTCCAGTTATATCGCGGCGTGTCAGCTTAATGTGGGAGGAATGCCCGAAGTGATCCAGGTCTCAGACGTTTATCACTTCGGTGAAACCCACGAGCACGGGTATGGTGCTGACAAACCTAGAAACATAATCGGGGCGAACCGGGATTCGAACCCACAATCAAAGGTTTCTGGCGTGTCCACGGGATGCAACTCTGCACAGCGAATTCGTATAGGTATACATATGTATGTCGTAGTATTTGTAGTACATGCAAATATGTAGAAGTAGCGAGACTGGCTAACGATATGCGAAATGGGAAGGTCTCGACTGTCACCATACAGCATTGTGAAGTTGGAAAGCAACACAAGTGTTCAGGAGGATCTATCTGAGAGGTGTATTTTCAACAGGTACTGGCAAATTGTGGTTAGCTACTGACCTTAATAGTATGTTCAAACAAAAATTGGATGAAATTATTGAAATCCATTTTGGATTTGTAATATGGTTTTAAAAAGGGTATTAGGTATGGATGGTAGGCGGTTGTTTATTGCTCGTAATTATGATGGGTAGAAGCGATATGTGGATATTACGGTAGCAAAAGTATATTTGAAATTTTTGAAACATATATATGTCCATGTGCTTCAAATTTGGAATTGTATCAATATTGTAGTGGGAATACAAAGCTAAGAATCATTTTATGCAGATAGATTAAAATATCATGTTTTTGCTGTTCTGCATTGTCAGCTTACTATTTGATATTCTGGTAGGGAGCTGGGATTTTGTATGGAGACTGGATATTATTTTCTGCTACAGTTGCAAAACCAGATATGTGTTTAAAAACATCTTAAAACAATGTATTTTTGTCGCAGACAATTGTTCTCTTCAATAGTTTGCAGCATAATTAATGTTTAAGCATTTTCTAGGAAAGAATATTTTTTTCAATAAAAGCCATATCCTAACGTTGTTGCTATTCACAATGACTAGTACATTCACTCACATCTGGGCTGCCCTGTCACCTCACCTCTGCTGTTTAATCGGTCGTTCCTTATCATGTTTGTACGTTTTTAGAACTTAGGAAATGTATTGAGGTCAGTGATAAGCAATAAAATATTTCAAGCTATAAAACACTGTCATTCGCAAGAACTCTTATATCGTTGAGCAGAAATCAACGACAATGAAACGGACGCTGGTCCTTTTCACATTGACCCTCTCAGTAGACATTGTACACAGTGACACGACTGTGACGATCTATCCTCATTGGCTAGCAAAGGGGGGTAATCTTCGCTATGAAGCCGACAGGTGGAACAAGCACAATGGTCTAGAACACGAATCCCTCATTCCAAGTTGTCGGAGCATTCGGACTGACAGCGGGCGCTGGATACACGAAGATTATGACGATTCTCTCTTCAAAGATGTGAGATTTATTTAAAAAAACTTGTTGTAGTAATACTGAAAAGAGTACCAACATAAAACTACCATTAGAAACGATGCAGTACTGTTTTGCATAATTATGATTTTATCCTAGCATAGGAACAATATGATACCTGTTTTAGGAAACAGGGTAAGGTTTTAGCTTCTTTAAACTCTAGGCACTTTAAATTGAGTCCGAGACAACTGGGAATTCGACAAATCCAGTTCAACTCGTCCGGGTTAACATAGGGATAAATATAGTGAAAGTGCAGTGGTTCCGGACTGCGAAGTCGACACATACGGGAATTCAACACATCCAAGTTCGAGACAATGGTGTTCGACTGTAGTTGACAAGCTGAATGAGACACTAGGATCATCGTTATTATGTCTATCTATTGTTTAGGATTCAAAACTGTATGGAATAAGGCCATATTCGCTGTTCAAATGGTTTTGTTAGTACATTGTACTTGCTTGATTGCTCTTGATCATACAAGCCCATGATAAGTGCTATCAAGGTTGATGTGGAGAAGGTGCATGGAGATACGTTTTGGAAATGTAACAACTGGTTGCCTTTTGAAATAATGTTTTGGTTTTACACACACAAAATTCCATTTTACATTTATTTTCAGTAAAGTCATGAAAGTTTATTGTAGATAAGAAAATTTTACTTATTTTTTATACAGTGGCCAGAGGATCCAAACCACAGCGGCTACCCTGACCCTAACTACTTGAAGAACGTTTCCAAGCAAAAGGAAGTGTTCTCCCGGTACCTCACTAACATCAACAGTGGTTATAAGAATGAAATGGTCATGATGATGAGAGGTAAGTGTTGCCAGAAAATAAAATGTCAGTAATATGTAATATAATTTAAAACACTAAGGATTTGGAGGTATTTATAATCACATTCGTCCTCACGAAAAAATGCAAAGGATTCCAAGCAAGACAGAAGCAACAAAATCTAAATTCCTACAAATAACAAAGACGCCTGCAACGTTTTACCCAGCAATAAGTAATGAAAGAGGATGATGGCGTAATTTGTTGAGTCATAAGTTGAAATATGGACATGTATGTGGGTTGGGCCAGCATGAGGATGAAACTGCTTTTGCCCCTCTGTACATGCAAGTACCCATTTGTGAAATAGTGGTGCCCAATTACTGATATGATTTCATATGCGATATACAGGTGCAAACATATTTTAAATTCAATAAACTGTTTATTTTCCGCTAATTCGATTTCCCCTATGTCCACTGACAAGATAGAATGAAAGTTGATTGTGCCATGGTCAACCCTTATTTCCATCAATGTCCTGTTGGTCTCTAAACAATCGATTTTTTAAATTTGTTTGTTTCAGCTCATAATTGGCCGAATTGGATGAACCAGTCCCAACATGAAGGTCAGTTCCCCAACAACGTAGATGCAGCTGCAGAATTCATGTTGTTGATGGTGCAAGGAATCTATGATTTTACCAAAGGTCAGATTCCTCCATACTTCGAGACCATCAATGAACCGGATGCTCAATGGAAGATAATGAACTTTACGACTGTCTCCATCTTTCATAAATTAGTAGCGGAGAAACTACATGCCAGATTTAATATCAACGTGGCTGGCCCTACACTCACAGGGTATTCTGGAGCGGCGGACAGAAACGACTTTTCGTTTTGGAGCCAAGTGGCACAGTTCATGGACACAACTTTAGAATATTTAGATGTGTTTTCCTTTCATTCGTACAACTCACTTATTGTTTCAGGAAAATCTCACCGATTTGCTGGTATGAATGAAGCGCGACTGGTAGCATTTGTCGACCTTGTTGAAAACTATGCCTATCTGAAGACAGGAAAAATTACCCCCATTATTATCAGTGAATATGGTCGCGGTGGAGTGACAGGAATTAGCTCAATAGCTCCATCGGGCATTGTCGACTTTGCAACAATATACCACTCCAATGCCCACAGATTCACTCAACTTGGTCTCAGAGAATACATTGACAGGACAGTTGTCTTTCTCTTAGCTAATGAAAAATACCCAGGACATGACAGTCTCAACTGGTCACTTTTCACTCTTCAAGGAAACGCTACACATATCGTCGATGTCTACAAGTTTTGGTACAATTTCACATCAGACTACGCCTTCATCAGAACCACGAGTCAGTATGATGGAGAGGAACGAACGGTTTCGCCATTAGCAATGTCCAGTTCCTTGTATAATGAAACCGTCATTCTCTTACACAGCTATTCTCAGAAGTCACAGAATGTTAAATTAGTTTTTCAAGACGGCTGGATCAAACCAACCACTGGAGAAGCTACCTGCATCACCATCAAGG